TCAAGGGTATGGAGAGAATAAATGAAGTGGCAGGAGAGGAGGAGGATTTAGTGCATTTAACTACAAATGCACTCTGTAGTTAACAGATTTTCAACAGAGAACACATAAAACTTGCATAATCAGAAAAATATATACAAAAATAATTATAATCATCTGTGTTTATTAGGAAAGTTTCATTTATGAAAAAGCCAGGAAAGTGATATAGTCAAACCCACTTATGAGATTTATATTATTCATTGTTCTTTGTTTTCTTCACAAATTTTTAAATAGACATTTTGGGAAGCAAGTAAGTCTCTTTTAGACCAATGTATTTTTACCATATATTGTTATATACGTGGAATGAGAATTGACCATTGTAGATAGTAAAGATAAAGCCAATCAAAATAGTTTTCTTCAAAAGTAGCTTCCACACATATATTTAAGAAGCATTCTAAAGAACCTTCAAGTGAAGAATTCTGAAAATTCTTGAAATTATAATTTACTTACATTTGCATTTTACCTGGGGAATTTGTCCCATTTTAAAACATTTCTTTACCACTTCCTCTGACCTGTGAGTTTTTCTACCTAAAGTTATTTAGAGATATTTAGTGTGTGTATAATGCAGAAATGTTTGCTTTAATAATAATTTTCAAGTTGGGAATATATAATTTTATTTTTTAGAAGAAAACCAACCAGTCTATTTTGTAAAGTTTCCCATCTATTATAATACTGAAGAGAGAGCATATTGGTCCAATTAAAGCAAAATTGATACAAGATAGTTTTACATATTTGTTTGACCTAAAACCTCAATCCATATAAATATATTGAAGGGCTTCTGTTTAGTTTCAAAATGTTTACAAATATATAGTTTGCTAAAATTTCCAAATTATTTATTCTCAATGACAATACATTATTTTTTTAATATTTATTTTTTAGGTGTAGATGGACACAACACAATGCCTTTTTATTTTTATGTGGTGCTGAGGATCAAACCCGGGTCCCGCAGGTGCTAGGCAAGCGCTCTACCGCTGAGCCACAATCCCAGCCCAATAATACATTATTACAAATGAAAATCTCTTGGTATATTTTCTATAACTCTAAAAAATTGTCTAAAATATTTCAAGGTTACAAAAACATTTTATCTCACAGAAGAAAGAAGACATATTAACTTTTTAAAAATCCTATTTCTAACATGAACAGTCAGCATGTTTGATTTACTGAATGCAAAATTTATTATATTGGTTACTCAATGCATAAGATATTCAATATTTTTCATATTAGTAAGACAAAAACAAATCACTATCAATAAGCTTGTATTAATTTGTGACATCCTTGATAAACTAAGTATGAGGCTGTTTTCCACTCTTTTGTTACTATTATGCTAGAATAATTCTAGGAATGGTTCTGAATCCAATATCAATTCTAAAACCATTAATTTGATTCATTTTTTAGGCATAATAATAAAAAGGCATATAAGAAATTGGAGTTCTGTTCATTTAACAGTTATTAATTATAGCCTTTATAATTTAATAAATGAATGATTTTGAATAATAGTTCTAAGCCAACTATCTGTTGTCTCTTCTTCAAAACACACTGTCAAGGTTCCTGAATAAATAGCCACAATGGAAAGGGAAACCCTGTGGCAGAAATTAAGAAATAAAGTACAGGAAGGATTAACCTCCAGCCTCCTGTGCTTTTATCTTTAGCATGCCTCAAAACCAGAGAAAGACTGCCTACCATTAAAAAAGATTAAAGGTGTTAATTAGACTAAGAGATAGAAACCTATCACCCTTATGTCAGGCAGACCAAACTAAATCTTCTAATGGATTAACACACACACACACACACACACACACACACACACACACACACACATGCATACACACACACACACACACAGAGTTCTTTCTCTATTGAAATCCTATTGATGATTGTCTTATATGTATATTAATGAAAAAATAAATTTTAATTGAAAACAATTTAAATTTTTAAAAAATAATTTTATAGGTCTACTCATTACCACTATTCTGATATAATTTGTTTTAATATTTACTATTTTAACCACAGAATACTTAAAACTTACTTTATTACTGTAAAATTAAAAATTGCCAATCCTTACAGCTCCTTCAATTGAGACTGTTATGAAGTTAACATTGAATTACAAAGAGATTCTTTTTTATGTTCAGGAAAAACTGATGATACGTTTTATACAGACACACACACACATACTATGTGACAACTCAAAATGTATTTAAAGTATTTTAATACTAGATGTCAGAAAGGAAAATTATACTCTAAAATATCATTTAGAAAATTATATTCTATTATTTATAATTCTAATAAATTACATTCTAATATTTACCACTTGGTAAATAATTTTATTACCTTTAATAGCTTATCATTTTTAAATATATACATTTTCCATTGTTAAAATATAAGGGGAGACACACATGAATTTTATGTAGCATATAGTTTCATTCTACACATATGCACATATACCCATTTATGTATAAATATAAGTGCATGTGTGTGCATATATATGTGTTGTGCATGTGTACCTGTATTTATAGACACACCCATACCCATATACATATATTTCAGGTTCTATTACATCATGATGTTCTCTGTTCTCTCTCAAGTGTTAAATATTTTCAGTTCATTATATTTTAAGAGTGGTATGAATGGTGATGTGGTTTGAAATTAAGATGAAATAATCAAAATGTTAGATGAAATAACAGCACTTAAACATTTTTAAGATAACTGCTTCCAGAAACATTGAAAAAACTATATTTTAAATGACCAATTTGAGAATGATTTTGGATGTTTTTACCATAAATAAGTGACAAATGTTTGAGGACATAAATATACTTTGTCTGATTACACAGTGTATATATGTACCAAAACATCACAATTTACCTCATTAATATGTAAAATATTGATATTTTTATGTTTCACTTAAAATAAATTTACTTTTAAAAAGAACAGTTTGAGCACATAAAACCATAAAAGACCCAGGGACACTTTTATATAAAGATGCTGCTCTGCTGCTGATTTTTACTGTGCCCCTAAGATCTAAGTTGTACTGCAACTGTACTTTCACTTTTATATAACCCACACCCTGGGACTCAAATCTTGATGGTGACACTACAGTTGTGCCCTGCCCTTAGGAAACAAGCCTCTGCAGCATGCTGTCATCTTTGGGCAGGGTCCATGGCCATGTTCTATTCCCTGGAGCTAAATCATTGTGGTATGCCCCAGAGATTTAGACCACTCCCTATGGGGGATCTGCACAAGGGCACCAGGCTTCATACCAAGACAGATTCCCTTGGTTAGAACTGCCCCACATAGGAGAAAAGAAAATAAGAGAACCCAAACAGACTTCATCACCGAGAAGCCAAATAACCCAGGTTACTAATGCCAATACACCCACTGATTCGGCTGTCATGACTCCTCTCAGTGTTTGCTGCTATTTACCTCCTTTAGTGGAGCTACATGGAGACCACACTGTTATGTCTTCTCTAGATCACAGACAATGCACCCCCAACACCTGGCACAGCTTTAGTCAACTACAGGTGAAAGTCCTTGCCAAGTGAATCAAGTTCAAAAATGCTGAAAGAGGTGATTGTTTTCTCAGATGCTCAGATATATGCAATGGTACCAGAAACACACAAATAACAATAAAAATTTTTAAAAGATGCTAATAAAGAAACATAATAATTTTCCAGTAATTAACTGATACAGAATCAGATACTTATTTTGAGGAAGCTCAGCATGACACAAAAGAACACAGATAGATAGATAAATGAAATCAATAAAGCAAACATCAACAGAATGAGAAGTTCAACAAAGAAACAGAAATCACAATAAATGAATCAAATGGAAATTTCATAGCTGAAGGAAACAAAAAGAAACAAAAATGCTATAGAGGGTATTAATAGTAAGCTTAATTAAGCAGCTGAAAGAAACTATGACCTTGAATACAGAGCTTTTAAAATTATCCCAAGGAAAGAAAGAAAGAAGAATAAAAAGGAATGAATAAAGTCTTTAGGATTGATGGGATGTCACAAAATAAACAAATAAATGCATATGTGTATCCATGGAGAAGAAAACTGAAAGCTTATTTAAAGAAATAATGACTAAAAATATCTCAAAACTTCTGATAGAGATGAATATTCAGATCCATGAAACTCAAATCTTTCAGATTCAAACCAAAGAGGACTTCACTGAGACACATTATAATCCAATTGTCAAAATTTAGAGATGAAAAGAAGTTTGAAAGCAGAAACATAAAAACGAATTGTCATATACAAGACGATATCAATAAGGGCCAATGAATTTCTCAGAAGAAATCTTGTAGGTCAGGAGAGAGTTGGAGAATGTATTCAAATGATAAAAACAAACAAGACTAGCAATCGATAATGCTTTATTCAGCAAAGCTCTGATTTAGAAGTGAAAGAGAAATGGAGACTTCCTAAGACAAATAATTGAAGGAGTCCATCTCTAGACCTGTCCTACAATAAATACTAAAAGGAAATTTTCAAGCTGAAACCTAAGAATACTCATTAATAACATGAAAATATGTGAAAATTTATTTTGTATAAAAATTCACTAATAGAATTGTGTGTGTGAGTGTGTGTGTGTGTGTTTCTGTTCAAATTCAGAATACTCCAGTACTAAAATGGTAGCGTACAAATCAATTTTAAGGACAGTATAAAGGTTGAAGGACAGGAGTATTAAAATGATCATAACTACAATATTTGTTAATGAATATGCAATACATAGAGATGCAAATTGTGACATTAATAACACAAAAAGAGACAGGTAAAAATGTGTGAAATTTGTATACTACAGCTTTATCTCATACTGTTTCCAAAAGATGCAAACTAAAATAGATAGCACCTGTCATTTTAGTGGTGAATGTTACAGTAAAAAGTAACTTTTGACTAATAAAAATTGAATGAAAATATGATGTAGATACTAATTTGATTAGTTTTATAGTTTTAAAACATTAGATCACTTACCTTATTTAACTTAGATAATTAAAGAATTTTTGCTTATTTAAGTAGTTCTTGGCAGTGCTGTCAAGGTCTGATGTATTCAACAAGATGATCAATGAATTAGAATTTCTGTAAGATAAAAAATACTATTTTGACTTTTACAAATTTCCTAGTAATCAAATTACACATTTACCATATTAGGCCAATATTAGGTGCAATATTTAGCTCACTTTTCATTAACAAATATTACAGACCTTGACAATCAAAATTTTTGTGCTCGGTAAATGTGGAATGTATTATCTCTATACTCTAAACCCATGGTGAGCTATGCAGAAGTATACTGACAACCAAATTCTGCTCCATTGTGCTGATCCCTGAAACCCAGTGGAACAGGGGCATTTCTTTCAACTTGAACTCCTTTCTTACTCTGAATCTTTTGATAACTTTTCAAGGGCAAATGCTCAATTGGTCAGGCTTTAAGACAGTTTGAAAGAATAGATAAAATAGAGGACTCATTTGACTGTGTTTAGTTACATCATTAGGACCCTCAATTGATGTGTGTGTGTATGGGGGGCGGGTTCTTGGGTTTCTCCCTCACTTTTATTTTTTCCTGTCTCTTGTCTCCAGTTTTAATATTTTTATTGGTTCTTTTTAGTTACTCATTATAACAGAATTCATTTTGTCATAATTATAAAAGCCTAGAATATAATTTACTCTGATTTAACCCACAGTACTTCCCCTTCCCCTCCCTTCAACCTTCTTCCCTTCCCTCTACTCTACTGACCTTTCAGTTAGTTACAGTTTTTTATTCTTAATTAGTGTCTTATGGATACATATAATGTGAGATGCTGTAGTATGTTCATATATGTACATAGTAATGTTAGGGCAGATTCATTCTGCTGTTTTTCCCTATCCTGATAAAAGCCACCAAAACAACAAATAACCCAATCAACAAATGGGCCAAGGACATGAACAGACACTTCTCAAAAGAGGATATACAATCAATCAATAAATACATGAAAAAATGTTCATCATCACTAGCAATTAGAGAAATGCAAATTAAAACCACTTTAGATTTCATCTCACTCCAGTAAGAATGGCAGCTATTATGAAGACCAACAACAGTAAGTGTTGGCGAGGGTGTGGGGAAAAAGGTACACTCATACACTGCTGGTGGGACTACAAATTGGTGCAACCAATATGGAAAGAAGTATGGAGATTTCTTGGAAAATTGGGAATGGAACCACCATTTGACCCAGCTATCCCTCTCCTCAGTCTATACCCAAAGGACTTAAAAACAGCATATTATAGGCACACAGCCACATCAATATTTAAAGCAGTTCGATTTACAATAGCTAAACTGTGGAACCAACCCAGATGCCCTTCCATAGATGAATAGATTTTTTTAAAATGAGGCATATATACACAATGTAATATTTCTCAGCACTAAAAGAGAAGAAAATCGCTGCTTTTGCAGGTAAATGGATGGAGTTAGAGAAGATAATTCTAAGTGAAGTTAGCCCATCCCAAAAAACCAAACGCCAAACGTTTTCTTTGATATAAGGAGGCTGATTAATAGTGGGATAGGGAGAAAGAGCATGGGAGGAATAGAGGAACTCTAGATAGGGCAGAGTTGTTGGAGGGGAAGTGAGGGGGCATGGGGTTACTAATGATGGTGGAATGTGATGATCATTGTTATTCAAAGTACATGTATAAAAACACAAATTGATATGAATATACTTTGTATACAACCAGAGATATAAAAATTGTGCTATATATGTGTAACAGGAATTATAATGCATTCTGCTGCCATATAAGTTAAAATGAATAAGTAAATAGATAGATAGATAGATAGATAGATAGATAGATAGATAGATAGATAAAAGCCAAATGGTATTCAAGGGTTATAAATTTCCTAAGTTTCATACTATGGGAAAATAAAATAAAAAAAATACAAAGTTTACTAAATCCAAGGGTTATGCTGGGTGGTTTAAATTGGGCAATACACAATTGGTAGCATTTTGCTTTATATACATGAAAAAAATACAGCTCTTTTGAACAACAGATATTTTTTAAATGACTTGTTCCCCTGCTATCTGTCTTCCATTTAGCAATCAAACTGCTTGAGAGAACAGTTTCCATTCAGTGCCTTGACTTCCTCACTTCAATTTTCTCACCCCATGATGGGTTTGTTTCCTGCTTTACCTTCATTAGGATTACTTCCAGAAGTTTATATTCATTAGGTATATTGATGATATTTTTCAAGTAATCCAATGATTCATTTTAATGATTAATTCAGTTGAAACATGACTGCTCTGTGGGATTTAGATACTGTGTTCTAAATATTTATGTTTCTCCAAAATTCACATGCTAAAATCATAAACATCATTATGAGGAGGTAGGTTTTTTGATAGGTAAGTAGTTCATGATGGCAAGGCTTCATAAATGGGATTATTGTCCATATAGCTTTCTCTTAAAATCCAGATCAAGTTTTCCAGTGTCATTTTCTTTCCCCAAATGACTTTTCCCTGCTCATCTTATGTCCTATTCATTTGTATGTCTAAATCCATACATCAATAGAGTCAATGAAAGTTTCTCTAAACCTTGCACTTGGAAGTTGGACTACATTGTGTTCCATATTGCCCCAAGATAATATTTGCCGCATTAATTCTAGTTGCCTCTCTAGTGGAACACATATGTTTACAAAAAGCATTATATATGCCTAATGTATAGTAAGTACTCAATCAATATTTAATGATTAACTGTTCAATGGTAATTGGGGTGGGGTAATTGTTTGTTTCCTATGTCAATGTCCGATTGGACTATATTCATTCAGGAAAGTGTTGTTTTCTGCAGAGATCTTTTTATTGAATATTTGAATGTAAATGTTGGTACAACTTGCCAAATGACAGAAACTTGGCAATGATATAAGCTACCTCAATTGAGACATATTATTTAGTATGAACACCAACATTTAGAAAACTGAAATGTCTTTCAGAAATCTTTTAATTAGGTAGCCTTTTTTGTTGTTGTTTACATATGATATTGCACATCCTGTCACTAATAGAAAATAATTTGGATTCCATTTGGAATGCACACTGATAATTACTCTTCTCAGATAACTGCACCAAGGACAGCAATAAAGAAGTTTCACATTAAAATTGAAGTTGGTGTAACTCCAAAAACACTGAACATTCATTACAGGCTCAGAAGCTTTGTCATTTCTAAAGACTACAACAACTAAGTGTCTTCTCAACTATTTTTTGCTTCCAAAGCACCAACAAAAATCTACTTTAGTCAGAATAAACTGTCACCTGACCTACTATCTCATCTTGTTCTAATGGTAGGGCACCCTAAGTATTCATGGAAAAACTTCAAGTATTTTATAAAAAAAAAAACATAAACTTGTTTTGAAAATTGCGTGTGTATGAGAACATTTATCTGGAATAAGGTACAACCCATTTATGGGTTTTTCAAACAAATTCAAAACTCCCAAGAAATTAACAATCAGTGGCAATCATTTTATAGGTAAAAGAAAAAGGTATAATGTACTTAAATATTTCTATGTGAAGAGATTATCACTGGTACAGAGAAAAGAACATTTGTTTAATCAGTTTAAATCAGATAATGTCGTTGTATTTTAATTTATTTCCCAGCACGTCAAATTAGAATCTGGAAATAATGGAAACAAGAGAGACACCTTTGGAATTTTAATTTTTAATCTTTTATTGCCATAGCAGTGACTCTTGCCAGATAGCCTACTTTTGCTTACTAGAATAAAAGTACTTCTAGAATCTTTCAAGAGTGCTTTTACTAGCCGCTGAAGGGTATCTTTCTGGTACCTAACCTAGATGGTGCCTCAATTCATTACACATGCTCTGCTGATAAATGGATCCCTCTTATTTTCTTCATCCGTCTCTCTGTTGCCCCTCTGTATTTGTAGACCTAGTATTCCATTTTCCCAGGGCCTAATGCTTTCTGAGTTAGAGTCTATTTAGAGTTTAGACTCAAAAGATCAGGGATGTGATTAAGGAGTAAACCCTCCTGCCAAAGGAAAGAATATATAAATATACAAGTATATATGTATATAAAATATTTTACTTGAAAACATAAATCAACATCTGCTATAATAAGTTGTATCTTCTATACACTGAAGAGATATTGCAATATATCTATAGATCTCCTAAAATCACCTCAAAAGAGACATATGAGTTTAAAATGACGTTTTAATAAGTTTGATTAGAGTCATCTTTTTCATGCCAAATAAATGCCTAAGAATGATTTTGTAATAAAATTATATTCCAAACATGACTGACTGGGAGCTTTTTAGTTAAAAACTAACACAAAATTTGGTTGGCATTTCAAACAGTTTGGCCACACCACAGCAAATATCAAAAGGTAATGAGTTTTAAGATAAAGATGACAGTACGTAAACACACCTTCAGTTGGAAACAATTTCTGTCTTTGCTAATCCTGTTCTGAATAACTATCTCAGAACTCCAGTGCCAAACCATGAAGGAATCCTGGAACGCTTCCTTGGGACTGCCTCATGGTTTTCACTAAGTTTTATGTACGCAGCTTTGATCTTATCCCTGAACTCCACTGAGATATTTTGCACTGCCCTTCTGAATGCTATGGTACAACTCTGATTCCGAGTCTATAAAAGAAGGGACAGAATGAAATGCCTACTGAGATTGTGGTAAGTTTTGAGAAGATCAAACAGGGAAAGAAAACAAAAATAAAGACCATAAAAAGGCATCTCAGAGTAGCACTGATCTTAGAAGCTACTCCACCAGAGTTAGAGCTCAGAATGTCTCCTTTTAAAGAGCATTAATTGATATCATTGTTATTTTATTCCTAGAACGTCATGGGAATTAAAAAAGAAAAGAAAGAAAGTGGCAAAAGCTCTCCTAAAGGAAGGTTTTAAAGAAACATAAAAGCTCATTGACTTTGTCCCAATAAACAATGTCAATCCGTAATCCAAAATTAAATGAATTGTTTGGAAAATAAAAACTGTTTATTATAGAAAGTGAAAAGCAGAGTCCCCAAATGAATAAATTTACTGTAGGTAGCAAGCAGGCCACATATGGATGACAAAGGGGAAAGACTAGGGACTGATTATGCATCAG